CTGGTCAGCCCTGAAGTGGTCACACAGTGGGACAAGGTGGTTGTTGTAGGTCCCTTCCAACAGGAACTGTTCTATTCTAATTGTATTTATTTAAAGAAGAAACCCAGCTGGTAACTTTGTTGGTTCCAGCCAAGTTTCTTAGTGCCCAGATGGGGCCCTAGTGCTGTTCTGTTGTCTCCACTGGAGCAGTTGTGCAGCTGATTAAAGCTTAAGAACAGTTATCTTTTGGTAGAATGGCGACGTATGTTTTCTTAAAAGCATGCTGCAGCTGTCAGCTCAGGAGTCAGTGATATTAGGAAAGCCGTAATGCACTAATTAAAGTAGTAAGTAAATGGGGTTTGAAATCAGCTAAGACAGGTAACTTTTGGAGCTCAGAATGGCCATAGCAGGTCTGGTCAAAATCCTGTCTAGCTCGCTGGTTTTTCCTCCAATAAGAACAATGGTCATCAGTGGTTGCTTACCTGGTTACTCTGGTATTTGCTGAGAGCAGTGTGAACAGTTAGTAGCTTCCCCGGGTTGCTCTGCTAGCGTTCAGAAATTAAAGCACAGGGACTTGGCCAGAGGTGATATCTGTGCTTAAGAGTCTTTTAGTGACTTTTCTGTTAGTTGGGTAACTAGTAATGAGAATGAATTTATGGTCATTGTAACTGGATTATATGTGTATTACTAATAGCAGTGTAAAATTTGCATTTCTGCTTTACAGAGAATGTCACTCTGTGCCATAGATGGCAAAATTTGCCAACAAATGCTGGTGAAATAATGGCTACAGAGATTTACTTGTGTGCTCAGTATTGATGGTGGTGTTTTTATTTTTTCCAGTTTAGTTGTTCTTGCAGTGTCTTCACTTTTGCTTCAGGGAGAACTACATATCTAAATGGCGTTTTTAAGTTGGCAGAGAGGAACAGACAATCTCTGTTGGTATGTATGTTTGCATCCTGATTTATCCACCTTGCTTCTGGCAATCTGTGAGTGAGCTCTGTTGCAATGTGTCTGTGAACCTGCTGTACAAACAGATAAGGTGTTTTCTTTGTTTTGTTTTTTTTTAGCACCGTTTGTATAATGCATCATTTTAATGATTAACCTGAGCAAGTTGAAAGAATTTGTAAGAAACAAAAGCTTATGAAAAGAAAATGTGTCATTTTATTGACTTTTTACCTTTTATTGCCAACATACTGGACCTTTGATAATTTTCAGAATTTCGAAAATTTCTTTTTAATCTTGTTGGAGTGAAATATTGCAAGTATGGGGCAGTAGCTTTTATACTGATTATTTTTAATATCTTTCTGTATGCAGCCTGACAGCTTTTGTTACAGTAGACATAGTAGCTCCAGTGTTAATTTGCAGAGTAATACCTTCTTTGGTAGCAGGTGTGGAAATACTTCAAGTGACCGGGTGATTTCAGGAGAATAAAAACTCCTCCTTGGATTTGACTTAAAAGGATAATTGTTCCCTATGACTTTCCTCAAGGCAGCAAAACAAATGGGTGTGTAGAGAAGTATTTTTTCATAAGAGATGTGAATCTTGGAGAAACCTATACACACAGGAAAAAGCAGTGCATTTTTAGTTCTTCTGTTACACTTTAAGCATTTTGGGGGAAAATTCTGGTTTGGTCCTTTTTAGAATGAAAATATCTAACCTTGCAAGCTTTTTCTATGTGCTGAATGTTGAAATGAAGAAGTATGTTAGTGCTTTTGTTTTCAGATATTAAAGCACTTTTGTCTCTCCTTGGTTTAGTGAATGTTAAAACTTGGAGTAAAACTGAGCTTGGATGGGACACAAGGTCACATATGGGATTTTTCTTTCCCCCCTCGGAGCATTTTTGAGCCCCCGCACACTGGAAAGCCCAGTCAGAAAGGCGGAGAAGGAGGAGACGAGAATATTTTTGTGGCCTTGATGTAAATGCCACGTTTTAAAGAAATTACATCATGAAAATTGCTTTCCACTTTGGTATCTCTAAGGACTATTAACAGGAGCAACTGCAGACCTAGAAGTGCTTTGCAGACTGTTAGTGCTTAAAATATGAGTTAATTTTATCAAGACACAAGATAAAGGAAATTGCTTCTTGACTGGTTTCAGTGAGGAGGTTCTGGCATTGTCTGAAAACCCAGTTACTGATTTGCTTCCTGCGTGCCCATGAGATCGTGGGGGGAGTTGTTTTCATGTAAGGCTTTGTGGGGATGACAGGTGGGGTGAGGACCTCATCTTTCTCAGGGGAGCAAAATAAGATGTTGTTTTTATTCTCAGCTGCTTGCTTTTCCAGTGTTTTCCTGTTTGTGTGGTCAGAGTGTTGTGGGAAAGGGTGAGGACACTCAGGGAGATGTGGCAGTAGCCCTACTCACACTGTAGTTGTGCAAGAGAACGTGTACTGGAGTTCCCGGCAGCGATGGCCACAGGGTTGGTCTGCGTGTGCTGTGGGGAATGGTGAAACGGCCATGCTGCGCATTTTCTCACTTGAAAGTGCATCAGAGTTGAGCTGACTTGGTAATTCTTTGAGCAGTTCTTGGGATTTTTGTGTGCAGATGCTTACACACACGGAGACACGCATGAATAGTTCTGCACTGACTCAGTATCTGTATCTGAAAAATTTTTACTAGGTGTCTGCTAGCAGTGTGCGTAAAGCGTGTGTAAGCTTTCTGCAACACTGCCAGTTCTTCGTGCAGTGAAACAGGGGTATATGGTGTCTCTCTAAATAGCGTGTTCCCAGCAGCCAATTTAGGTTTAATAATTAGAAATAGTCAGGTACTTTAGTTTTCACCCCACAGGCTTAATACTGATTATTTGCTTTGGGAGGAAAAGTTCTTCTCTCTTTTGATGAGGCAGGTGTTTGGATTCAGCAGTCTCTTCTGCACAATCCTGTGGGTCTGGACTGTGTTAGGTTTTTTAATGCCCATCCTAACAAGCTTTCATGGAAGGCCTCATCTGGATCTCAGATCTGAATCTTGCAAATCTTCGCTTACCTGACAGAGAGAGGGGCAGATCCTTGTGCTGAGCCCTTCTCTATGAGCAGTGTGAGCAGTGGATCGCATTACGTTTGTAAAGATCCATGGCTGTCCCCTGGTCACTCAATCAACAATTTCATTGTAGTCCCAAGAGTCTGTTAACGTACCCCAGTAAGATTAATTGTGATGTAAGAGTAGTCTTAGATTTGAGATTAGGTGGAGTTTGCATTATGATTCAACAAACATAAACTTCAAATATATCCAAATATATCATTATGATGTATTAGCTGACAAAATTTCCAGCGATTAAGATAAGAGCATAACATATTATGTTGAAATGTTAACTGACAGACTTTGGCAGGTACCACGTTACTGTGCTAATTGTCATTGAACCATTAATGAAAGGGCAGCATTAACCTGTTAATGTGGTGGTTAGTATAGATGCCCAAAATGCACCAAATAGAGTATCTCTGTGAAGCCTGGTTTTGCTGTGTTTGAGAGTAGAATTTGAGTTTTGGCTTTTACTTCATTCCAGATAGATACAGAGAATGCTTGTCTACAGACAGTATCTTCTGTAGGAGCAATGAATTAAAATCTTTTAAGTTTTGCAGCAGTAATCAGAGGTCCAGTGTGAGAAAGGGAACATCCATTGGTGACAATTTTTTAAGTGACATGAAAAAGCCTTCTGAGTGATTTTCTGTATTAGTCTTATGGTCAAATTTTATTTACTTTGTAGATTTGAAATAAAATTGCTTAGGATTCCCTTTGCTTTCCCTTATATAAAATTTTGACCAAAAGGAGTATTTTTGTGCCTGGAAGTATCTTGTCATTGGGTAAGTGATTTTACTTAAATGTGCATATAATTCTTTTATAAGTATCCTTGCTATCTGAATTAAGTCTATAATCATTTCAGTTGTTCTCATTTTAGTTGTTGTGCTTATTTAAATACAAATTTTATTTTTTCTTAATGAGACACAACTTAATTAGATCTGTGGAATTATATCTCCACCCATGTCCTTATGGTGCGTTTCCTTTAGTGTCTAACAATTAACATGTATCCAAGAAGAGGTAGTCTGATTTCCTGGTATCATGGAGGGAAATATTTATAAATACTTAATACTTACCTTTGTTCAATACTCAGAAATATGCTGTCATAATTATTTATGTTTTATTTCAAGATTGATGGTTCTTTTAGATATGAGTACTACTGTTGTGATCAATGAGTTTGTTAATTCAGAACTGCAATGTGGGGGGTTTTGTTTGTAGTTTTTTTTAGTTTCCATTAAACACTTTGTAATTCTGGAATGGATTATTTGATCTAAGTGGGTAAAGGTGACTTTTTCATGGTACCACATACTCAGATTTTTTTTGCAGTCCAGTCCTTTGTTTTCTAGAGTAAGCTTAAGGTATATTACATATATGAAGTCCCAAGCCAATTTGGAACCACATCGGCCTGCTAATTCAGTTTGGGAAAAGTCTCACTTCAGACAGTGCCATTGCTGAGCCGGGATCTTGAGATTCATCCTTCCAGCTAAGAAGGGTGGTGTTGGCTGGTTCTCTTCTCTGGAAAACTTCTGTTCTTTGGGGCCTGACATAAAATGCTTTTTCAGGTGCACCTGTCTGTATAGATACTAGCGGAGGCCCAAGCAGCTGCAAAAGGCTTTGTGCGTTAGAAGTATACAGTGGGACTTAAATCACCAGTTATGAGACTAATTCAAGTGATGAGCAGGGAGGAGTGAGGAAGCACCATTTTTTCAGTCATTTAACAGCTTGGATTTCTTATTTTAAACTACGTTATGATAACATGCAGTTTCTGGATGAATGCTGCCTAGCATGGGCTTCATATAAAACCCAATTCAACATAAATGACAACTAATACACTTCCCCCCGCTCCATTTCTTGAGCTGATTGGGAGCGGGGATAAGGACTTGGCATGGCTTTAGCAATATTCAGTCGTACTCCTTCCCAGTTGGTACCTGAAATAGAAAAAAGAATGAAATCTCTTGTATTGTTGGGGGTTTTAAAATTTTATTTATTTGCACAAATACATTTGCTTTGCAGGAATCCTGTTTTCATTATGTTGTCTCACCAGTGTTGGCTGAGCTGAAACTTCCTGCATCTCGGGGAGAGCATGTATAAAAGAAATGACCTCATGGCCAATGTGATGGTCACCTCCGCCACTCCAGAGGTACAGTTCCTTGGGTTTTGTTAGCTTCTGTGTCAAAATGGAAATTTTAGCTTGTTTCAACTTTCATAGAAGCACTTTTCACTACCAGTCCTGTCAGTTCTTTTTCTTACAAATACTGTAGCATTTGGGACAGAGCAATTTTAGAACACTCCATGGTTCTCAGTGTTCACAGCCAATTTATTTGTTGTTGATGATGATTACTTATTTAGATTAGTTTTAAATAGCATTTTTTACCTGTTACTCTATAATTTAAAGCAGCCATTTGTTATTGGTGAGTTAAGATCAATGTGACATACCATCTAAATGGAGCCAGTCAGAAATATTCCAGTTGATCTTTTTGGAATTTACTAGTCTACTAGTGCTCTGTAAGATTTTGTTCATTTCAACCCTTTGTGTTTTTGGAGACCAGGCAGTTCTGGTCTGCCTAGTGCCATCTTGAGCTGCTGTGCACAGCTAACAGCCTCTGTTTGTAGGTCCTAAAACTGAAGACTGATTGGGTATTAGTTAATCTATGGAGTTCTCCTGGCTTTTTCATGTAATATCATAACATTACATGAATATTTACACATAATATTACATGAATATTTCATCATAATGAAATCGTCTAAATCAGCTACAGTAAAGCTTGCCCAGTCAAGCACTCATTTTAAATGTACAATTGGAGGTGATTTTTGCTTTCTAAAAAGTAATATTTTGATGATGAAATCATCAAGATGGTATTATTCTCAGCTTGAAAAATTCTCCTTCTTCATCTCTTAGGACAGCTGAAGAGCTGCATGAAGCAAGTTTTTCCATCATATTGGTCCCTTTTGCACACACAACTTGATCCTGTCAAAACAGTTGTCCTGATTTTCATGAAACAAATCAGCGGTTTCAGTAGTGAGCCGATCTTTAAAAATCTTAGAGCAAAATAAAAATATATAATACAGCTGTGCCCTGCAGATCATTTTCTCAAACATGGTATAAATGTCCTCAGACCAACAAAAATAGTTTTTCATTCTCTCAAGATGGGGGACATTTTCAGTTGGGTCTGTAAACACACACATTTGAAATTCCTCTTCAAAATAATTTTTAAAAAATACTTTCTCACACTGTTTCTCTGAACAGAAATATCTGTCATAGATCAGAGCATAAGAAGTCTTCAGGGTCAAACCAAAGATTCTTCTAATCCATTATTCTGCCTCTGATAGTTGCCAACAGCATATGCCTGAAGAAGGGCACAAGAACAGTGCAAGCACAGGAAGCGTCCCACTGGTACTGTCCTGGCCACAGCTGATTGCAACTCAGGGACTTCCTGAGGGGAAGGTCCTCCTTGCCGTCTCTCAGTGTGTTTGTCTTCCATGAATTTACCTAGTTCCTGTTTGAATCTGCTTCATCTTTTAGTCTATATAGAATCCCATAACAAGCTGTTTTTCACCTTAACTATATGCTGTGTGTATCCTCTTCTCTTTTAAAATCCATCTCTGATTTTAACTGATAACCCCTTTTCCTGGCATTAGATGAAGCAAAGAGAGACCATTCCTGTCTTTCCTCTCACTTACTTTGTTAGTTACTGAACATCTTCCCCACAACCCACTACCTCTTTGCCAGGTTGAAGCGCAGCCTGTCTTTCTTTGTAAAGAAGCCATTTCACACCTGTGATCCTTGTTTCCTTGTTCTGAAACTTTTCCAGTTCTTTGATATCCCTTTAAGATGGAGACTAGTACTGCAAATGTATTCCAAGATCAGGTGCACCATGGATTTATAAAGGACCATATTCATACTCTATTATATATTTTATCTTTTCCTTTTAGAGACTTACCAAATCTTGTGACGTCCCTTTTCAGTTTTTCATTGCCAAGTTTTGATTTTTTGTTTTACCGTACTGAATAAATAAAATTAAGATCCATAACCATCAACAAATTGTCACCTCATTGTTGACTTTGTCTTTTCTAGATTGTTGAATATATAATAATCATCACTTACCTATGCATAATTCTCTGCTGATTCACATGTTCCCAGTGCTTGTAAACAACTGTTTTGTAACAAAGAGAGTGTCTATGCTAGGGCTGCATGGTTTCCTTAATGTCTTTGGAGTGAGGAACCATGTCAGAAGTCTTTTGGAAGCAAGACTGTATTAGTCATGTTCCTTTACCCACATGTCTGCAGGCACTGAGGCACTGCTGCTCTTTCTAAATAACAACTTGGCAATTTCCCAATGCAGCATACCTGTCTGTGTTTCTACTAATTCCCCTCTTACTCTCTTCTTGGGTTTGCCCACTACAAATGTCAGGCTTCCTAATCAGTAGGTCCCCAGATACAAAAAAAAAAAAAAAAAAAAAATCAGCATCTCATTTACCACCTTCTAGTTCTTTGCTACCAAGTCAGTTTTAAGCGACAATGACATGTCACAGTTAGGTAAGATGCCAAAAAATCTTTTCTGACAAGTGTTCTTCTAGCAAACAAATAACCTCAGTTATCAGGGCTTAAGATTTTATGTGCATATATTTTTATTCAGTATGTAGTTTTAATATTAAGAAATAGAAAAATAATGCTGTTATTATTAATCGCGTTATTCCTGAAGAGTGGAAAATGAGCCTCAAGTGCTTGCATCTGAGCCCAAGGACAGAAAGTTCAAAAGGAAGGCAAGGTACCAATTTTTAAGGCAAGGCACAGCACTATTCTGAAGTACCTTGCAGCTAACATTGGGTTAAATTTCAGTACATGTCAGTTTTTCCTTTTTTATAATGTTATGGATAGAGCAGCATGATTTGAATCTACCCACTCTTTACCTTGCATATTTAATTTTAAAATTTCCATTGAACGTGCATCTTCAGAATCCTAATGTGTTTCCTTTTGTGAGACAGCTCTTTTATTTAGTCTGTGATTTTTATTTTTTTTTTAATGGCTTTCTAAAGCTGGAAATCTCACAGAGCTAAAATTGCATGTCACTATAGTTTTTGCAGACAAAAGTTGGAAACGTTTGTGAACCATGTAACCTAAATTTTATAATTCAGTGTCTAAAGCTTTTTGAAGTTCATACATTTTCTTGTCATTTCTTAATATTTTTACACATCTATTTTCTGAATTTGACATGAAATTCATCATTCTGCAGATAAGCCTACTATTTTCTCTTTGTAGGGTAGTAGCAGTTCAGATTCTCTGGAAGGGCGAAGTTCAGATTATGCTAATAAAAGCTACGATGCAGTTGTATTTGATGTGTTGAAAGTAACTCCTGAGGAATTTGCTGTAAGTAGAAACGCTATTTTTGTATTTAAGCTTGTATAATATTCAAGACTTGCAGGATATTAAAAAATACATAACTTTTATCTTAAAAGAAGAGTATTTTAAATGACTTTCCAATGTTCTTGAAAACAAATTTGTGATTATATAAGCTTTAACAAAATAAACATGTCTTGGGATTTAATCATTCAGTACTGGCCTGAGACAGCATATTTGTTTTTCTGTGTAAAGCCATTTGAATTTTTTCTAGTGCTTTAGAAGACTCTAGCATAGATTCAAAGATGTTAGTTATCCACAGTCTGATTCTTTTTTTTTTTTAATTGAAACCACAAATACTCATCTTTTCTGCTGAAACATCAGTTTCTTAAAAGCAGGAAAGAAACTTGTAGAGAGGAAACAGTTTGCACTCCTTAATAACAAATTTTCAGTGCTAAACTGAAAGCAGAACTGCAGTTTTGGCAAAAGTGCGATACAGTTCTCGTGCTTGGCCTCTTGTTTTTAATTTGCGTGTTAACTTGCTGGGGAGCAGGAAGGAGTGAGGATGAAAGCTGCTGAACCTAGTTCAATGTTTTCATTAATATTCTGGGCATCAAAATGATGTTTCCCTCATTTGGTGCAAGATTGTATAATATCTGTTGACCAAAAAAGTCCTGGAGATATGCCTACATTATTCCTACAAGTTTGTCACTTTGGAACAAATTCTGATGAGTCTTTGACACCAATACAAAGTACACAGATGAGAGCTGTTATTAGGTAAAAATATAAAAATACTCAGTTGGCAAATCTGCATCAACTCAGTTAAAAAATGGCCTGATGCTTTTGCTCCTGTTCATCCAAGTTCAGATGATCCGTGGCCAAGGACTACTGTCAGAAATGTGTAGAGCCACAATTTAGATAGGCCTGTAGGAGAGAGATGTCTGATTTCATCAGAGGAAACTGTTTATTAAGTCCGAAGAGAGCCTGGAACATAGTGTGTAGTCTACACCAGGAAAAATGAATTTGTGATGATATCAGAACTCTATTTATACAATTATCAAGTCAAGGTAAGGTTGCTCGTAACCTAGAACTCATCAGTTTTCTGCTGGGTTTATAGTTCTTACTGCTGTTGGTTTGAGATGGAAGCTTGTTGATGAGGGGCTTGATTTAATGGTACACTTCAAAAACACACACGTATGTGCACACCCCCCCCTTATGTCACTGTAACCCGTCTTTTAACTCAGAAGTCCAAACTTCTGTAAGTTGCTGTTCTCTTTCCAATTCCCCTTGCCACCTAGCCTTAAACAAAACAACAAAAAAAAAACCCACCAAAGGCAGAAGAAACCTGGAAGTGGAATGTGTGTCTGTGAGACTGGCAGTGGGGCTGGAAGAGATCATATGTAAGCCCTCGTGAAAGGGCTGTTTGTTTGGGGCTGGTTGGTTTGTTGACGGTGATTTTAATAGGGTCACACAAACCTTTAACACCAAGGCTTTCCTAGCCAGAGTAGCTGTTCTCCTTGTGCCACATTCAAACCTTTTCACTGGTTTACCCTGATCCTCTTTTCTTATTGACAGCTCAAGTAATGTTTACTGCTTCTGTTCCACCCAGAGAAGCAGGTAATTTCTTTTTTCAGTAAATAAAAGCAACCAGTAAATTATACATACAGTTTCTTGTTACTCGAGACTGTAGTAGTCTGAGTGTTTCAAATAACTTGAAACAGTTCAGTTAGGGAGAATGAAAAAACCCACAGGTCTAGGTTTACTGTAGTTAGTACAGTTTGGTTACTGGACATGAGGGCAGAGATCTGTAGAAGATGGGATTGCTGTATGGAATATAAATATTTAGAGAAGGGGAGTGGAGCCAAGTTAAGGTCACTTCCAAGTTTAGTGTGTTGTGTTCCTTTTTAAAATCTAGAAGCAATGGAGGAGAAATTTCCTGTCAGTAATCACATACATATCAAAAAGACCAGCAACTTGTCAATACTACTGAATTTTTTCACCTTTTTGGTGATTTCGATTGAACCCATGTCTTGTTGAGACAATTACTAATTATTGCTGAAAACTTCTTTATTAATGTCAAATAATATGGCTTATAGTCAACTTTTTGGAGCCTTTGCTGTGCATCTTATTAGGAGACTGTCAAGAAGTTGCAAACAGGCATTTGTGACTGCAGTCAGTTAATAACAACTGAGTTTGTAAATACCCAAACATTACTCAGAAGTATCAGTAGCAAAATTGGGTGCTGCTAAGAGTGTTCAGCTAGGGCTTTGTGGCAAAATCTTTGACTTGACATAATATAAAAGCAAGAGATAGAGAGTGTAAATTCACCATTTATGGAAGGAAATTTTTTTTATGTCTGTCAAATTTTATGGGCCTCTAACTTTCCTAGGCTTATGTCTGAGGAATTGTACTTGTAGTAGAAACCTTATTAGAAATGCATTTAAACAGATAGTTATGGTTAAATAGTGGAATCAAATGAGCACTTTGAGAGGAGCTTAGCATGTTTTTGCTACTTTGGGTTTAGTGCAACAAAATGGCCACAGAAGCTTTGCGGGGGAAAGATCCAAAGTGTTCTTTGACACTTTCTTTTACAGTAAATTATTTACAGTCAGGTAAATTACGAAGTTAAAAGCTCTATAGGTTTACACACTCACAGTGTAATTGAAGTACCTGTTGGTTAAACATAACTTATGTAACTTCCAAATATATAATGTCATTTGATTGCTGAAGCAATTCAAGTATCTTGTCACTCAGATGCTGAAAATGTTTTATAAATGCTTTTTTCCAACATCGCTTGCTTTGAAACAGCATTACAGTGTCTCCTCAGGACACACTCATCAGTGCCTGAAGATGTGTGTGTGACCCCTCCAAAGCACACTCCAACTGTGACTGATAACACATCATGGTGCTGTACTGCCTTTCCAACCAGTGAACACAAATACACGCTGCTTTCTGTGTGAAAGGCAGTTCTTCCTGCCATTGCTGTTTTGGCCCTTTATTGACATAACAGAAAGACTCTCAAACACAGGTTTTTCCTCTTAGACTGGTGCAGGTGCTGCCCACAGCAGTGAGGCGGGAGGGAGAGGCTCGAGCTCTGTTGCATGCAGGGTGCTGGAGGTTCTGCTGGTGTGGGGGGGCCTGGAGGGGGGGGTGTGTGAATTAGGACTGGTCAGTTCTGGTCTGTGGAGAAAAGGTGACTGTATGGTTTGTAGTTACTAAAGGGCAGATGTAAATATGTGATCATTAGCTCTTCCTATCACATGATTTAAAATTTTATCTTTATTGCAGAGCCAGATTACACTGATGGATATGCCAGTATTTAAAGCTATACAGCCAGAGGTAGGTTTTCTTACTGTCTGCTCACACCTTTGGAATTCAGTCCCTGAGGAGATGTAACCATTTAAATAATGCTTTTTAATTCAAAAATGCTCAACTTCTTGCACTGCGCTAATACTCTTCTAGGCTTATTCCTTGTTAGCACTGTGAATCTGTAACCCAGCCTGATTTACTGTGATTTGTCATCTGTTGCCAAAGGAGATGACTGTGCTTTTCTGGAAATCTTCCTGTCCTGTTTTGTGGTCACTGTTTCTTTAGGATAAATTTATCAAATATCAAAATTCTCTACTCTCCCTTCTGCTCCTGTTTTTAAGTTCACATCTGATTACAGAGTTTGACTTATGCCTCTAGTAATAATCTAGATTTTAGTCTGCATCAGCCACTTGGTAAACTTCTTAATTTGTACTATCATGTTTAAGATTCAAATCTGAGGGAATAGATCACCCAAACCCTTAAAAGTTATTGTATTAGTGTCCTTTAATTTTTTTAACCTTTTAAGAAAGAGACAGAATTAAACTCAAGGCCTGTTGAGGAAGAGCAATCAAAATTAACACAGACATTTGAAAATCAGAAATAGGAACTTCAGAAATTAAGAATGAAGGCAGTTATCAGAATATGTTAAATTTGCATGAAAGTGCTGTTATCTCGGTATTTTGATGAAATAAATCTATTTCCTGCAAAATGTACAAGAATTGCATGTTTCCAGCTTCAAGTTCTTTAATATAAGAATGTGTCATTAGATCCATTATGGTTTATTGTCATCTTGTGCCTCAGTGGAATATCATGAATACATAAAGGGAAAAAAAACCCTATATTAGTGGAACTGAATTTTTGAAAACTTCAGAAAGGGCAGTCTGGTTTAGAAGGTTCTTAGTTGAAACTCAATCCATCTAATTTGATCACTAACAAAACAACTTGTTGTATGTTAGAGTGGTTCAGAGAGGTTAGCAGTCTTCTATTTTAAGAAAGTATAGGAAGGAAAATAAAAATTAATCTAGCTGGTGTCTTGCCTTCCTGTCAGATAAATTAATTTTTTTCAAGAACAACAAGACAGTTTTGTGGCTGAAAACACTTTCATGCTTCTGAAATTACACAGGCTCTCCAGGCAGCCGGGGGGAGTGTTTTCTTTACTGTGGGGGAAAAAATGGCAAATGAACAATGCAATAAGAAACAATACCCATCGAAAAATCTGTTAACATGAAAATATCAGTATTTACGAACAGATGCGTATATACTTTTTCATGAGAAAATTTTGCTAAGAAAAACATCAGGTAGAACAAAATGGAGGTTTCACCAAAAGCAGAAGTAGTGTGATACCATGAGATGAGCGCGTGCAAAAAAAGATACCAAACTAGAGATGTTCATATTTAATTTTGCATTTGCTTTAATTGCTATGAAATACCTGTAACATAGAATTTTATAGTAAAACAAAATACAGATTTGTTGTTCTTTTCCATTGTCACTGCTTCATTTCACCTTTTGGAAATTAAATTTCCTGAACTCTACTCTGGCAGATAGATGCGACTTAGTGAGAGATTATCAGAAAAAAATAAACATGATATTTTCAGCTTCTGCTAGAATAAAGGTGTGTGATGAGCAAAAGTTGCCATAAACGATTAGGTTTTAATTGTATTTTCTGACTTTCATTTTACTGGAATTACCAATATAATTTAATTGTTTGTTTGACAAACAGAAACAACTCTTTCTATCCTGAAATTGTGCCAACTGTAGGACTAGGTTTGAAAGCAAGATACAGTCTGTGTATTTGTCATCTACCTGCCTCTTGTTACTAGGCTAAGAAGGTTAAAATGTCCCAGTTGGACAAAATATTAATGCGTAGTCTGTAATTGTCTGCATTTGCTTGAGGCCTGTCGGGGTGTGTTCTGTGTCTGTAGCTTGGACACCCTTCGGCAGCTGTCCCCTTGGAGGCCGCAGGGTCTCCCGCAGATGGCTACTGGCCCTGGCCCTGTTCCTGGGCAGGGGCTGTCCGATGTCCCACACCAGAGCCCTGCCTTGGTGTCCCTGGATCGCATGGCAGAAGGCAAGGACAGTGTTCAGTCACGTCACTGCACAGGGTGAGGGCACAGTTACGGTCCCTGCTTTTCCTTTCATACTTGCTTGTGCGAGGTGGCCACGGTTGCCCTGCAGCATCACTGTGCCGGGAGCAGCGGTGGGTGCCTGGTACGTGGGCAGAGGGGCTGTGGCGAGGCCACAGGGTTTGCTGCCTTCCAGGGCTTTCCTTCGTCAGCAGCTGTTGGGCTGGTGCTTTACGGAGGGACCTGCTGGTCAGCTCTGGGTTTGGGGGAACAGCATTGTGTTGGTTTTTCTTCAGGTTCTAGTCTTTAACGTGAGCTTATGCAGGGATGGAAAGACCTAAGGTTTTAGAGTTCTGGTTGCCAAGTCTTCTCTCAAGCACACAAACACCCTTTAAACCTAGCACTAGCTGAGGCTTTTCTGCTTTTTGATTGTGCTATTACTAGAAAAACACATTTGTGTGTTACTTTGCATGAGTTCAGTAAGAGGACGTCTGATGAACGTTTTTTTCCAGCAGAAATAACTGTGCTTACAGTCTATGTAACTTTAGGGGTTTTTTTTCCAAAGTTCTGGAAATTGTGGTCTTTAAGATTTCAGGGTTTTCTTGCACGCTTGATTGTAAAGTTTTTTGTGATTATGTGCATTGAGGTAATTGCCTTCATCCTTCCACACAAAAAGATAAAGTGTAATTCTAGAACACAGTACGTTTTAGCAGTATTAAAAAAATTCAACAGGGGCATGTTGGATCACTTACTCTTATCAACCTTCCTATTCGGTCCGAATTTTAAACTTAGTCAAATTATTTTACTGTGCACAGGATATTCCATTGCTGCTCACTAGCCCTCTGGCAACTGCTTAATATCCTTAGGTTACTGACCTCTTCCACTTTTCTGATAAATGTAAATTTTGCTGTCCCTAGTAGAGTGACTGAGATTTTTCCACATAAACTCATTATTTCCAGACTCTTAAGACCAGACGTGCAGCAATCACGTGGAGAATCTGTGTCTTGACAGATGTGAATTGGCATTTTTATCTGCAGAAGGCTTAAATGTTGGAAGACTGGGATACAAAGTATGTTTGGAACTGGAAATGCTTTTCCTGGTGCTCACACAGGAACATGCAGACCTCAGCATCTCCCAAGTGTGTTCCGTTTGTCAGAATGTGCAAAGTGCACAGAGGCAGAATTCTCTTTGGCTGACTCTCTGCCTTTTCATGTGAAGTGTCTAAAGTTAATAGCGTACATCTGAAAAGTTGAACAACATTCTGATTGAAACCGAAATTTGTGGTTCTAAAAACAGAAGAGTGATTTAGAACTGGTGTTATGGAGAACTCATTTCCAGTATGTATGCATCTACCACGCGTCAGATCTGAATATGAAGACTGTATAGATATGTGGTAACTTGGATCTGTAGTTAAAAAGAGGCAGGCTGTCTAAATATATTTGGAACTGCCTAAAATAACCATTGGAAAATAGACTCTTTCTGGCTAAATCAAATTTGCAGTTATAATTTCAAATTCCTTTTGATGTGTAATTTATTACAGTTTATTTAAGGAGAAAATCATTAATCTGCTTTTAGCTCTTCTGTTTACTTTATACTTCCCACAGGAATTTCTACTATTTATTTTGCAGTTTAGGTGAAAGATTATTTTCTGCCATAGAGCCTTGGGATTTTATTATGAATTGAAACTGATTAGTTGTGATTACCATGTGTACTACAGAATTTGTGATTTTTCCTATTATTTAGAACTGGGTTGACTTTGAAGTAGTTTTCATAATGAAAGAGTATTCAGAAATTTGTTTCATATACTGTGACTGAACTATGCAACCTATTGACAACTTTTTGCTTTATTAGCACCAGAATGCTAATCTATATTCTTGAGTATATGCTGCACTTCAGTCAAGTCTGGCTAAACTCCTATGGCTTAAAAAAACAGCCCCCCAAAAAATCAAAATCCAAAATAAAACAGAGTTCTAACTCCAACCTTCTGTGCACCAGAAGATCTTCAGACTTAAGGCTGTTACTGCCCATCCCTTTTTTAAATGATAGGCTTTCTCAGTCTGAGCATCACTTATGGAGATTTCAGATTTTATTAAATTAGTTTGTAACTACTGTAAATGCTTTAGATCTCGCATTATAATAAACAAAATGGGAGATTGAATCTGCTGAACTGTGATGTGTTCATGGAAGTTTTACTAACTGTGAGGAAGACACTTGGGAATAATAGCTAGGCTATCACTTCTAGTTGGACAGCTGAATTTTGTACTTGTTGACTACTTTTAATACTGCTTATTGACATTAACTTCAATTTTGAACCAGATAAGAGTGTGTACTAGCAAAGTCTTTTCTCCTATGTCTGCTGAGTTGCTCATGTGAGGGAACCCTGGACTGTAATACTCAGTGCAGAATGAAACTTGAGGCATCAGTTGTGCCTGGTTGTTTAGTCTCTCTGTATCTGAATGTTAATAATTGTCTGTTTTTTCTAGTATCGGGTGAATATTCAAATCGCATCATTTATGTACATCAGGAAAACACAGAAGTGTTTGGTTAGTCTTAATTGTCATTGGATTGGTGCCTTGAATTGGTTCTAGTAGTTATCTGATAGATGCTCCTGTCATGTATCAGTTTTTACACTTTTAAATGTTTTTAAACATTACTGATTTAAGGCAATTCTCAAATGTGTTTCCTAGGAACTAGCCAGCTGTGGGTGGAATAAGAAAGAAAAACATATACTCGCTCCAAATATTGTTGCCTTTACTAGGAGGTTCAACCAGGTAAATGGTTTGATTGCTGTGGTGAACAGGTACTGTTTGACAGTTGTCTGTGAGTATAAATAGAATTACTCCTATGAATTAATACTTAAGAATATTTTTCTAAATGAGGATTAAGATTTTTAAATGGCAGATCCTGTTTTCAGTTGCTTTGTCCACATTTTTGTGTCGTTCCTCTAGACTGTTGGTTCCTATTTATTAGTTCCTAACCATTTTTGCTTATGTGTCATGGTACAACATCAGCAATTATTTTCCTTCTTTTCTGTGTTTCACCTGCTCATTCAGTTACCTTAGTGTTGCCTCACTTCTCTACCTAATTCTTATATCCAGCAGTAAGGTTTTCAGGTAATTTCAGCTATAGAGATGAGAATTTATGGAATTAGAACTCCCTTCTTTAGCCTGTTTTCTCCCTGGAGCATCATGAAAGTTTACAAATATTTCATCTAATAAATTCTTTTTTTTTTGTTTTTTGTAAATAAATTCAGTTGTGTGTTTACTTTATAGGTCAGTTTTTGGGTTGTACGAGAAATACTAACAGCACAGACCTTAAAAATAAGGGCAGAAATATTGAGCCATTTTGTGAAAATAGCTAAAGTAAGTGCAAATTTCTTGTACTATTGTTCAAAATCTTACTTCCTTTTTGTTTGTTTCTGCATGACTCCTGTGAACTGTTGTTAGATTACAGAGGGTAATGTTCTGTTTTAGCTTATCTGCTATGTTGCACCACATGAATAAGATAAAGGTATGACATCTGTTGTTTTTACTTGATTAAATAAAACTACCCGGTGCAGTGTGAGTTGTCTTGTATCTTTGCCTAACAAGTTTAAAAGGGGTTTGTCTTGTTGATGGCCAGCTACGTGTTGCCAGCACTGACCATGGTTGTAAACTGTTCTGGTTTTTGTCTCCTCCCCTTCAAACTTAATTTTCATAAAAAGAATCTCTTGCTTCCAAAGTGGCTGTTGTGATATTTGTGTTCCTACTTGTAACATGTAGTTGCTGGTATAAAGTACCTCTGTTAAAGTTCAGTTATTTTAATGAGTTTGAGCACTGCATTTTACAAGTCACTCATAACTTTTAAAAAAATATTTTTAAAAATATTTCTCTGCTTCATGACCTGCCGTCATTCTGTTTTGTATGACCCTGTGTGACACTTACTAATATTAGTAAGAAGACAGCACTTGGCTCAAAGGCCTGAGCTAATCTTGTACATGTGAAATTGTGTGTGTGTGTAGGTAATGAGGATAGTATTTTCCATGTATTACTAAATAAGTTTTTTTATGTATTGTGAATGTTTCCAATCAGTTTACTTAGCAGTTTTGTGCTTGCGCAGAAGAGAATGTATCTGAATAATTCCTGACACAAATGCATAATCCAGGTACTAGAAGAATGATCAGTTTGACGGTGTTAGGTTACTCTTAGAAATAAGAGGTTTGGGTTTGTGTTTTTTTTCCCCACAAAAAGGAAAATACTACCTTCTTTTTCATTTTTTTATTTTTCCCACCATGTTCCTCCTTTTCCCTCAATACAATTGAGATCTTTTTCAAATGTTCCAGAGCAATAACTAAATCACTAACTCAGGGATGAATCCAAACTCTTTTTTAAGATATACGAAGAAGCTACATGACAGCAGTTCTCATTTTTCTATTTTTCTGGAACTATGTTGTAGGAAACTATCATCTAAAACATCTTTACTCCAAAGTACTGTCTCTTGAGATCAACGTGTTTTGAGTAATTGTCAACACAGAATGAATGTACAGTATGTTGAAGTGTGGAAAATTTGTCCTGTAAAACAGATTACAAAATAAAAATTTATATTAATTCTGAAGGGTCAGCAGCAGATTTGGTTAATGTTTTTGGCTTAATTCTATTTTAAATTTCAAAAATTATACCCATTTTTGAGAACAGTGCATCAAATAATTTTTTCATTTTCTGTTCCTGAAGGAACAGCCTTAGAAAATAACAAATTCAAATTAAATACAGTCTGTATTCTCACAGCTGAAATGTCTTTTGTTTTGAGGGGTATATTTGGAAAATGTGCAACTTTTAAAGTGGTGTTAAGAATTCTGCACATTGACAGCATTGGATAGTGTTGTCTGCAGTCATTGATGAAAAGTTTGTATTTTATTAATGCAACTTTGAGATTAATTCTGTTTTTCTTTTTTGATGTACTAAAAAGTTGTTACTCCCTTTTTTCAGAAGCTTTTAGAACTGAATAACCTTCATTCTCTTATGTCTGTGGTGTCGGCACTGCAGAGTGCACCTATCTTCAGGCTGACCAAAACCTGGGCTGTAAGTTATTCCTTGACCATTGACTTTTCTGTCTTGTTTGGATCGTGAGGTTTTCAAAACTCTAGGTAGTGATATGTGGATCCCTGATAAACTGTTCAGAAATAATAATCATATTTGTTCACATCTTAAGATTTATGCTGAATTGCATTTTTTTTTCTTAATGGGTAGCATGTTTTCAAACACTGTGGTTGTTTGGGTGATGATGAATCTAATCTTATTTTGACTATGTTTTTATTTACTGTGGGTGGTTCAACAAATTTTATTTGTTGTCTTTCTGTGGATTTGTCTTTTAAAATTTTATGATCTTCGTTTTTTTCTATGTAGCTTTTGAATCGCAAAGACAAGACCACCTTTGAGAAGTTAGACTATTTACTGTCTAAGGAAGATAATTATAAAAGGACACGAGAGTACATCAGAAGCCTGAAAATGGTTCCTACTATTCCGTATTTAGGTGAGTGTGAACAATTTCCTTATTTATCCGTAGCTTATTTTGACTGACGAGCACTAATGTAGCAGGTTGTGTACCTGAAGAACACTGTATACAGAATGTATGGGTCACTTCGCATTTAGAAAAATTAGATCTGATGGATATTTTTAAGCTACACACTGTCTAGGATCTCAGAATTGTACAAGTTTTGTGCATTACTGACACCTGAAACTACAATCATGTCTTTGTTTACTGACCTTTCGATGTTTTCAGAATTTACAAGGGTTAGGCTTCAGAAGCATCGTGAAGTACAGCGTGATTTGAGATCTTGTTCCTGAGGCTTTCATTTTTGCTGAACTGTTCTTTCACATACCTCATAACTTGGTGTCTCTAAGCTGTAGTTGTTGGCTTGTGTCAGTTTCTTGTAAAGACTTTGAAGAGAGATACAAACCAAATACTCACTTCAGTTGATTGACTTGTCTTTTCAGTGTTCCCTTGTGTTATTCATGTAGACACACTGTATCATTATTTCCCCAATGGCTTCTAACTTGCAGTTCCTGCTCATTACTGAACTAACTGTGCTAGCATTCCTGAGGAATACTGGAAAAAAGAGATTCCTGTTAAGGCCATTCAGACACTGGAATGTCTTTCCTATTGATGGATTTTTTTTTTTTTTTAAAAGAAAGAGTTAATCCAAGAAGTATTTAACCACATCTTCTGTAAGGGATATAATAGAAATACTAAGATAATTTATTGTAATTATTTTTAGTTCCCAAGATAAATACAGTGCATTTTTTTTATAGCAGTCCACGTATGCAAAGCATGGTCCTGCTGAAGTAATTGTTCTGAACCTTTTGTAAATGACTTCCAGAAAAAATATATTTTAAAAAAAATCAAACTAAGTCTGGAATTCCCATCACAGATATTCGGCACAAGTCACTCATGTTTGACACAGTTATAAGTAACAGAATACACCATAAAGAGATGTCTTAAACATTTTAAAGTATTGGAACAACTACAAACTCCACTTCTAATGCAACTTTTTTCCTCTTGTAACATCATTCTGCCTTGTGCTTGAGCCACATGAACTCCACAATATCAAATGTGAAATACACCTTTACTTAAAGTACTGGCTGTTATTCAAGTTAATGATCTATAATTACAGCCACACATCTGAGAAGAAAATTTAAGTATTCTAGGAATGATACATAACAGTTCTTAGACAGCTGTGTTGATTCCAAGGAGGCTTCTCATCATTGTGATGAGTATGCCTGACATACTCACAGAATTTCAGAAGGATATATGAGGAAGACTCTTTACTTTTTGCATAGACTTTTTAGCACCTCAAGCTTATATGTAGTCTTAAAGTATACAAGGGACTACAAAAAAACCCTTTATGTGGATGTGTAAGCACTCAAACTAAATCTGTAGCTTAATCTAGTTTGCAGTAGGCTTTTTAGAATCTTCATTCCTTCAGCTTTTTCGCCATTTATTCTGTTGATTTGGTGCATATAGTTCAGAAGAAATCCATGCCACTTGGCATCCTTGACAACCTTCTGTGGCAGCGTTTCAGTTCTGTATCCTTTTTTAGGGGAAGAGAGCGCACGTAGACTGCACACAAAATTCAAGGTAGAAGCTTATGTTAGATATATACAGAAAGTTTTTTGTGTGTTCTGCTTAATTCCTAACATTCTGTTAGCTCAAAGTATAATAGCAATCATAAAAGCAAATTGTTTTCAGGAACTATTTATTGTAATCCCAAGATCTTGCCTTTATTGGCAATAACTTGCTCTTTTCATTTGATATGGAAAGTCAGGACTTTTTTTTTTTTTCCCCTGTATGTGTCACTGTCTATAGATCTTTTTTTTGTTTGTTTGTTTTCATATTTTATCTTACTGTCCAAGCACTCTGTCTCAGATTCTTCTGCAGTTCCTCTGTCAGCCCTTCTCTTCACTCCCATCGCTTAGTTAATATCATCAGCAGATTTTCATTCCGTTGTTCACTCTGATTTTCAGGTCACTTATGAATGTGTTGAACAGCATGAGTCCCAGCACAAATACAGTCAGCACTGCTTATGTAAAATACTACTTATTAAATAAATTTGACAGCTGTCCCTAACGGCTATACTTTAAAAAATGTGTTGAAAAATTGGTGTAAGTTATTGAAACTTCTTTGAAAATAATTTCAGGTTAGAAGGAATGTTTAACTTATCAGAAGAGTCTATTCAAAGGGGACTTGTTTCAGTGAATAAATATCTTGGGTTAGACAGTATCAGGTTTGGAAAAACTTCTTCAATCTGCTTAAATGAACAAGTAGACTGATCGATCTATGTTAGCAGTAAGTAGTGAAATCACCGAATGAGAGTGATGGTCTGAGGACTTGCAGCGTTCACGGGGCTCATGTTTAATGCTGTAGAGCCTCTTCTCCCACTGCAAGACTGTTAGTTAGGAGGTGTCAGTTCTCATTCCCTCTGGGGCGGTCTGAGGTTGGTTGAGCTGCGCTGGAGAACGTGCTGGGGTGTTAAACAACTGCTTAAGTTGTCCAGGCACTCTGGTAAGCAGTGTTGCTGCTGCTCTTTTAAAGGAGGTTTTCCCTGCTTCCCGAGAGGTGCACTTGAACCTCTGTGTGACCATTGTGTGACCTGATGAATATAGGAGACAACTGGTATGTTTACAACCTCAAGATATGAGAGATTAATATATTCCTTTACTATATTTGGAGCTACTGTGTTAAAACATCCAACAGTTTGTTTTCAGACAGATCTTCCAAAGTTGGGGTTTTTTTTAAAAAAAAAAAAAAAGAAAGGAAAAAACCTTGAGATTGGCAAGGCTGTGGTCTGAGCTGTTGGAAGCATTGAGCCACAGCATGATCTAAGAAAAAATAGGAGCCACATTGATTTGAACGTTCGTGGGTGCAGTGGGTAGCTACAGCTTTTTCCTTTCTTCACTGTAGGTGATCTTTTCGGTTGTATCTATGTTAGAAAGGACAAAGATGGTTATGTTCTGTTACAGTCTACAGGTTTCGCTGAGCTGTGATGGTTTGTTTTGTTGTTTTTTTCTTGGCATATAACAATGGGCATAATTCTTTGAATGATAATAGAGGTTTCAGGAGAGAAGTCTTATGAGAGATGCAACCAAGAGTTGTATTCTGAATTAACTTAAATCTTGGGAGCTGGCCTTTTGCCTAAATGCTGTAGGTGGAGCCCCACTGTTTAGTTCCTGGTACACAGATAAAGCATTAGTTAACAGCATTTTCTTTACTGTTAACTTCTGAAAAAGGTAGAGATGTTTTTAAAAGTTAGAAGAGCAACCTAAGTTTTGATGAGGTTTGCAGTCCCAGGACTATTTCTACAGCACTTTTTGAAATGAAGGAGCAGTACAGGAGAATTGAAGCTATTACAACTCTCCTCATTGTGCTGCAGGTCTCTTCTGTGTAAACTCACCTCAAGTGCTTTTGCTAATGATAGGAAAATACTTGATATGTGATTTTTAGACAGCCTACTGTTGTCAGAGATGTACTGCTTTGGAGAGTGATGAAACAAGAATGTAATTGAAAGAACTGGAAATAGAGAAACAGGAATGACTAAGGCCTTTCACAGTCTACAGCAGTGAAATGGTGGATCTAATGCCAACTGAGTTCTGTTGTGTGAATGTGGGGAAAAAAAAAAGGCATAGTGAAATTTTGCAGATCTGTGATTCTGCCAGTATACTTGCCAATCACTTGTTTCACTGTGTAAGTTCCAAATTCCCTATGTTTAATTGTTTCTGATGTGCCAGCCGCTGGGTTTATTAAAAATTATTTAATTCAGATTTTAAGAAAAAAAAAATGCTGTGTTAAGCACTGGGATGTGGGTTTGGGTTTTGTTTTCCATTTTCTAGATGTCTTATCTACCAAGCTTTAGCTAAATTATGAAATAATGATATGGTCCCTACTCTTGTCTTGCTTCGATGGTCCATGCTGAGCCAAGCAAAGTTCTGTTTGGTAAATACCTTCCTGAATAGCATCTCTGTGGAAACAGGGACAGCTTCTTCCAGTGCCTTTAATTTCAGTAAACCTGTATGTTTAAAACATTGCCCTACAACAGTTTTGCAGAGTATTTTATGATGATGTAAATACAGCTTTTTAAATGTGATAGGAACTAACTCGTTAGGTACAACTGGACGTATATTCTTGTTCACTTGGACCTTGTTTTCTGCATCCTTTCCTCTTTCTCCTTCCCACCACCAGTTGGTTTGAATGTGTTGGATGTCCTCAGTCTTTTTTTGTCAGCCAGCTGAGCCACAGCTCTTGTTGTGAACATCACTCTTGGGCAGTGATGTAACAGCACAGTCTTTTTATCTCTCCTCCATTTTTTCTAAACTGTTCTGATGTTCAACTTCTTTTTGCTAGTGAGTTTGTTAAATCTAAGTGTAGATATGCAAACTTTCTTGTTCTATCCACACTGCCCTATCACCCAAAATGAATTTTAAGGAATTTTACTACCTTAATGCTACAGTCCTAACTGTTAGAGCGATGTGGCCAGGCTCTAGAGCCAGTCGATGCATTGAATATTTCTTACATAAAACTTAATTGTTTTCCAGAGCCCAGTAGGTAAACCAATAGAAGATAAACCTCAAATAGTGTTTGAAAATTCTGGGGTTTTTATAGAACCTACAAGAAGTTCTTCTTCCTTGGGATGTGTGGGAATTCAGTATTTTTCTGAGCTGAAATTGCTTTGCTTTTGACGTTGCAATATCAGACACTAGACACGCGTTAACAGTGGTTGTGTACCAGAGCTGATCTGAATCATGGAGCTACTAGTGATTATATATTCTTTGCTCTGAGTAATCTCAATTAAAACAGGATGAAATCCGAACATGTCAAAATAACATGTGTTGCTTTATTAAAGGATTACAATATTACAGGGGTAATGTAATATATTAAAAACCCTACTTTCATTTATATACAACACATGCTACATCACACGTCAGTTTAACGCACATCATACTGTTGTAAAGTGATGAGGTAATAAGGGAAAAAGTGTGCAAGCACATGCACACAAATGCACAGGCTTACTGTAGGCTTTTGCTCTCCCTCTTACACGCATTCTTTAACTTGCAGTTTTCATAGTAGTTGCTGTTTTGAAATGGGTGTTACAGCAATCTGTTCTAGAAACCTACCTCAGAAGAATATTAGAATTATCCCAATCCGTATTTCATAGTTGTGACTGACCTCTAAATATAGATGAGTAAATCTATTTAATTATTTGACAGTAATGTGCTATAATTGTGAAATATGGTAAATATAACTTCTCTTGGCTACAGGTAACTTATTTATATATTTTTTTATCTATGGGCTAAGGATATTAAATTACTTATATATTGGCATCCATCATTTGCCTGCAAAGTTGGATAGTCCCTTTAATTTATATCCAGCCATTTCTGGTTATAGAGGCGACACAGCAGGTAATGACTGAAGTCAGGTACAAAATACTGTGACAGTTGTGTCGTATAACGTGCTGGCTGTACAGCGTGTTACATCTGTTGCAGATCTGGAATAATTTCCGTATGCAGGTAGCTACTTCATTTTGGTAAGAAAAATCATTAGTGTTTTTAATCTAAAATATTTTAATCAAATATGAATTTTAATTTATAGGAGCAGATTATTAAAATGCTCAAAGTGAAGGGGAAAGACTTGCTTTATCATGACAGTAATGGTTTCAGTATCTACTCTCAAAATCAAATTATATAGTACTAACTTTATTCATGGCAGGTAACAAAGATTAAATCAGAATAATCACACTAATGTACATATACCAGCTACACAGTTCAAAGGATATGATTTCCTGTGTCAAATGCTTGCTCATAATAATAATAATACTCTTGCTGTACAGTTTGTAATATTTCCTATATTTGAGAATATTTATACATAACATACAAAAATATTTAAATGTTGTGGCAGTATTTTTACCATCCAAACTTAATTTACAGGGAATAAAAACCAGAAAGTTTATCTACAGTCCATCTAAACTGCCAGTTCTAAAAGGCTTAATATAACTACTTTTAGTATCAAGAAGTGTTTTGAATGTTATGTCAATTCAGTTCCTTTTTTTCTTCAGCGCTTTTTTGCTGGAATGATTCTTGAAAGTACAATATACAGGCCCTCACATCTTAGCAATAAATGTACAATATTTTACATTCCTCATTTCTGAAAAGATAATTCCAGGTAGTAACATCATAGCTTTATGTGATTTTTAGAACAAGAAAGCAAACCAAGAGAATTATTTCAGTGGAATGTGTTGGGGTTAGGTCTTATCATCATAACAACTTTCTTCAGTGAGTATGATCCCCCGCGGAATTCCGCCCAGTAGACGCCATCCTGGTACCGGCTGCGGTAGTGTCCCCCACGATACCACACACCATTGAGATTGGAGTGAGCACACGCGTTGTACCACCATCCCCCCTTCTGGTAATGAGCACAATTGCCTGCAAAAGAAAGGTCTGAGTCAGTCTCAGGAGTAAATGAAAAGCCTTGCAGCAAGCTAGCCAAGCACTGTGAGTTTAACACGTAGATACCACGTGGTACAAGGTGAACTTAAGCTGCTTCAGGAACCAGCTCTGCAGGTGGGTTCTGCAGACAGACTCACTAGTGTACTCTCCCTTGCCGGAAAGTTTGTTTGCATTACTTTCTCAAGTAACACCCCCCCCAGCATATTTTACAGAAACGGTAAATATTTCAGTGAGAATTTTTGTTTTGGTGTTAGTGCATGTAAGGGCTGACACCTGTTTGTGCTTCATAAGTTACTGACAAATCCTTAAAATGTAATTTTTTTTTCGTGAGTGTGTATGACTGTATTTTCCCTTTTTTAAAGAAGGGAGGGGGAGGAGGGCACAAAAGGTGAGGCAGCTGGAAGAGGCCTTGTACCTGTGTAGACATCATGGTCCCGGTCCAGCGTGGTGAACTGTTTGCCGTTGTGCCAAGTGAAGGAGTCTCCCGCGTTGCCATTGTAGCGCCCCAGTCGCAACTTGTAATACTCGCTTTCTGGCTCCAGCCTGAAGCTGGCATACTCAGCAAATACTTTTCGACCTGACCAGTCTTCCATTGTTATGAGCAGTTTGTAGTTGCCCTGATTTGTTAACCAATAAATATTTTCTAATCCAAGCCAATATTCTCCATCTATATTACCAAATCCTTGCTGTAAAGGAAGCAAGAGAAGCATGTTAATATTGTGCATCTGTTTTAGTGGTAAATCAGAGTGTATTCCTAAGTAGAATAGTAATTTAATTTAGGGACTTCCTCTTCTAGAAGGGTAAACCAAAAGTTCCTCTTCAGGTAAGCTGTTGGGCAGACTCTAAAATCAGCCTTTAAATTAACCTTACCAATAATTTTTAGAGGGTAGAAAACATCAAACTGCTCGCTTGTCCTAACCTTGTACGTCTCCCAGTTCCTGAAGAAGTTGACAGACCCGTCCAGCCGTCTCTGAATGACCGTCCAGCCGCCGGGGTCATGCCGCTGGTCACACCAGACCTGCATAAGCTGGTTTGTGTTTTCAGGTTTTACAAGATAGATGGAGCTTGTATCATGGCCATCTTCTAATGCCTGTAGACAGTCCCTCCAGGGCCCTGTGCCAAAACAGAAGGATTCTGCATCAGAACGCAGCTGAGCACATCTTTAATGCAGGGCAGTATCCAAGTTGGTAACTTTTTACAGTAGATTTGCTTCTGCAGAATAGTTAATTTTTCCTCTTACTGAAGGTACAGTGTCCCCTGAGTGTTTTCAAACATTCATTTATTGAAACTTTATTTCTGGAACATATCAAATGAATCACTGACAAAGGTAGATCTTTATTTAAAATTGTATTTTATTTTAGGCAGCTGCATTTATAACATTGATCATCTCTTCAAAGAAACGAAATATTAATGACTCCATAGATAACTATTAACAATTTCCCTCAGAAAGAAAAATGGTAAGTTTGACTTTCTTTCTGTCTTTGAGAAATTCGGCTTTTTAAATCCCAAAAAATGTCATTGGCATTGACATTAACAGTGGAACCAGCAACATAAATTAAGAATGGAGGTATTGCTGTTGTCACCTGAATAAATGATGACATAAAATAGAAATTAAGATTTGTAACATGGAGTGCCCACTTACATAGATAAATTTTAGATAAATGAGAAGAATTTTCCCCCCACTGAAGGAAGAAGGCTTGTCAGATCTTCTCATGAGTCTTACTGAAGCATATGCTGCTGGCAAGAGTAACTTCTCTTTTAATTAATTTCAGTTCATCTTCCCTTTTTGATAATTCACTGTCTAACACTGGTAATGGTAGTTAGCCTTGTACTTGGAAAATGAGTTAGTGAATGAGTTTTATAGAAACAGTCTCAGTGTTCCGGGGGTTTGGGGCTTTTTGGTCTTTTTAACTAGTTAATCAAAAAGTCAGTGTACCAAGAGGCAATCCAGTTTTCTGGTCTGTGGCCATGCTGTGTTGTTCTTGGTTCCTTACTCATACTCACAGACTGTACCTAGAGTGCTGTTTCTAAGCCCCTTCTCCGCTTCCATTGTGGGCAACTGTTCAGATTTCTGGCAGTTTAGCTGTAGATGTGGTATTCTGTGACACAGTTGCATGGCTTCTTATGAGAGGTGGAAGACAACAAATGTACTGACTACTGGTAATTTAAACTGCTCTTGTTTATTTTATCACAATATGTACATAGAAGTACTTACTAAAACCAAAAAACCCCATGTCAGTTCAGTCAATATTGAAGAAACTCCTGAAATAGTCAACCACAGATCTTTGATTTTTGTCTTCAGAAAAATAAATATATATCAGTTTATGATGTGGGATCTACAGCTTTTAGATTTTTGAATTTACAATTCCTTGTAGGCCACATGGCAACAGTGCTCTACTGAACAGGATTCTTTTCCCTGAAAGTGCTTTAAGATGAAAATAAATTATTATAAATACTTCAAAGCAGAGATTGCTACTCCTTTTCCATGACAGGTGTTTTTTTGGTCGGATACTAACTTTCCAAAATTTTGACTGAACTGTGTAGTCTGGCATCTGGCATCAGAAATGAAAGGGAACGTTCTGAAGACAACTGGCTCCAGCACAGATCTCCATAAGACACCATGTCTAATTCTGCCTCATGAAAAAAACACTTTAAGGGATTTTTATGGGCTATTTATGTGAGGCTCTTTCTTTGTACTTTGTAGCAGCTTCATTTAAACGCTTTTAGTAAGAAACCTGGTCGGTGTTTTTTGGAAGTAAACACGGACTGGGTATGAACCGGAACTCTGCACAGACACCAAGCCCTTCAAATATCTCCAAAAGTGATACAGAACTGGTATTACAAAAAGCACGTTCATTTTTATTCAAGGTGATTGGATGATGGGACATGATTCAGATTTGTTTGCTGCTTGTTCTACTGTTCCTAGCATATTTTCTATCAATTAGTGGAAATTAAAAAAAAAATATTTTTTTTCAGTGTCACATTTGCTGCCTTTCAGTGTTCTCGCAGCAAGGCAATTCCTGGTGAGAGGATACGTAGCAGTTAATTGTTTCATGTTCACTTTCCTTTAGAACTCTTGGGGAATGTGCTTTACCCCAGTTTGTCAGTATTCGCTTCTTTCATTGGCTTTGTACCCTCTTCTACCCACACTTCAGTTTGAGGTAGATCTAGCCTCCTTGACGCGAACGTAGTCAACACAGGCTCGTCAAAGTGTCCCCTCAGTGAATACTCACAGCAAAATTAATTCAGATTTTCTACTGTTGCCTTACTTTTTCTTTCCCTATAACCTTTTAGTCAGGCTTCCTGTTCTTGATCTGTTAGATGGAAATCAGATTTATTATGCCTTTTATTCCTTTTGCAAGTCATTCTTAAGATTTCAAAGTGTCTTTATATTTAACCTGAGGGAATGTACGTTCTTATTTCCTGATTTGGACATGACTTAGTGCTTTGAATTACGTTGTCTGCTGTCCAGTGCTGCTCTTATCAAGCGATCTAACCATGACAATATTTCCTGGTCTTCTCAAAGTCTTTTTTTTTTGGATGCATGGATAGTTCTGAGTCTGCAGTAGTGTATCCTTCAATAGTCTCTATGATACTTGAAAACATTTTTCCTTTTCAGTTAACACTTTATGCATCAGTGTTACAATATTCTGCTATTTTGTGCCTCCCAACTTTCTGATAGACTGTTATAGCAGATCTTGCTATAAAACCCCAACTTTCTAGTTCTTTGTTTTTGTTGTTGTTTCTTAAGTAGTAATATCTGTTTAGAAGCACATATACATACACACAGACACACATTTGGCTTGGCCTTGCTACATGTATTGGCCTAATATTTCTGTGCCCTGTTTAAATAATATTTTTCAGATTACATGTCAGCATTTCTTATTTTAACTTTGTCCACTGCTCCTATCCAAAGGTTTTACTTGATGGTACAAAATCTGCATTGCTTCACCTAAAGGATTTACCAGTTTAAACCAGCTGCTTCATTAAGCCATAATTATCAGTATGAATATATACTGTTTGTCTTATGTTATTATGTATATTTGTGTATACTACTAATGCCTTTTTTGAAAAAGTGTGTGGCCATATAAAATTAGCATACACTGAATATTAATGCGGCATTAACCTTAGCATTACAGTTTGCTGTCTATTATTTAACTTTGTTTTTTATAACACAGCACGGGGATAAAACATTTACCTGCAAGTTTTACCTGGTAGTGTATGATAAACTGGTTTGTGTGCATGTTTTTCTAGGAATAATGTCTTCTAGAGAAATTACACAAGAAAACATACATTTCATAGTTGGTATAACTGGCTACCAAGTGTTTTGATCCCGGAAAAAGATTTGTTGGGTAAGGATGATGAATCAAATTCATGCAGTTTTCAAGTCCAGCTTTCATTTGTCTTGCATCTAGGCATCTTCCAATGGTGCACTAGCAAATTTAGACAAAGCGGGATATTTTTGTAAGCTATTCCCCTATTTTATACAGAAAATGTAGCAGTGCTTCACCTAACAGTGTTTGTCCTGTTGTGTGTCATATGCTACACTCTGCCAACTTGTTTCAGATCTACTTGAATTATTGACCCCGTGTGCTAAACTTTTTGATGTTATAGACTAAAACCCGTTGTAGATAAACTACATCTGCTTTTTGCATTGGCATATTAAAACTCGTAGGTAAGCATTAATGCATGCAAATTTGTTGGGTGTTTGGTGTGTCATAGCCCTCCATCCCACCCCAAACCTCGGGGCAGTAGCTCCAAGAAAGGAGCTGTTAAGTGTCACAGCTATGCCATTTCATCAGGAAGTCTCTCATTGGGCTTTTAGCTCTTTCAAGCAAGTCTTAAGGAGCAGTGTTCCTGAAGAGGGCTGTAGAAATTTTACTTGGAATTAATATTTTGCATAGTAGAATAGTGTAAAATACAATTGTAGGTACTCTGAACAATCTCTGGTGTCAACGTTATGTGACTTACTGGTTATTAACCAATTTTTTAAAATTTATTTTTCTGTAGAATTTAAGTGTTGTGTACATGCTCAGTATTCTGCAGACAGAATTAAACTTGCCCAACTTATTCTTTTGGGTATGAGTGGGAAACAAGAATGCACAAAAAAGAATTAGAGGTAAGCAATTTAGGATAAAATTGCAAATTCTCCTACTTAGAATCAAAACCAAGGTGGGTTTTTTTTTTTCATATTGCTTCATTTTTGCAAAGAACCAGCAACAGGAACACTGGCGTGTTTTTTATGCCTCAAAGTAAGACTTCCTGGGAAATGCATGGATCAGAGAATACATTAGTCCTTGCAGAGAAATTAACTTGTCTACTCTGAAGTGTGTACATCTAAAATTACTTTATATCCAGTGATGATGCCGACCTCTTAGAATGCATTCTTTCAGTTTCTTTAGAGCATTTTACTGTGAGACTGGGGTTCTTTATCTACATCATGTTTTTATGATTTACTGCCAGTGTTGTGTTCTGTAGTCATTAGCCTTTATCATATTAGAGGCAATAGACTATGATATGTCTGGTGAAATATTCCTAATAAATTTTTGACAAGACGCTCTTCTTCTATGCCTTGCCTCTCAAATCTTGACACATTTTTGTTATATGGCTGGTTGTTTTGGCTTACCTTTGTGAATATGGAGAAAGCACACTACACAGTCAATTATAATAGCATGTAGGGAAAGACACTTCAAACATGACAGAGAAATACTTGTAAATGACCATCTTGCTTTAGATCATAATAATACCTTCCTCTGAGTGTAGGCATAGGGGTCTGGTATAGTAGTACTGTATAAAGGCATTGCAGAAAGAGTCACTGTGCTGAAGATTTTAAATTACAAGTAACTTATAAAGTAGGTTGTTTCAAAAATATTCATGTTGAAAAAAAGATGAGCACTTTATGGTAAGTGATGTGTACAGAAATCTCTAAGTTGTTTAATTTCTATGGCAGTTCTTATGCTCTCTAGTTCAGATTCCTGTTTTTTGACTGAGGTAGATGTGACTGTGCCAGCCATATTACTGGTTGGCCAGCAATAACACACACTGCCCTTTTTTTTGGGGGGGAAAAAAAAAAAAAAAATAAAAAATTAGGCAGCAATTGTGTAAACTTCCTCTATAGTGTATATGCTGTTGTTAGGAGAAAAGGATAGTTCTTTTACTAGATCTGTCTGGTAATTAGTGTTTTTGTAATATTAAATGTGTATCTTCCTTCTGAAGTATTAACATGCTTTACAAACAAGGGTCGTCTTAATCTTCCCTTGAAAAAGTGCGAGCATTCTGCCTTTCAGAGGTGGTTTGATAAAATCGCCTCTGGGGCGTCAAGCAGACCTCTGAGGAGTAGTGCCTTTGTAATCTGACCACTGCTTGTTCACTGCACAAACACCTTGAACTACAAAAATCCTTTTGTAGTATTTGGATGTACAGGATGGAGAGAGAGCTGTGTAATGAAGAGACCACACATTTATGTTACATGGAGACCAGAGCAGGTTTGATAGCTGATGGTGTGGGGTGTATTGTGTTGTTTGGATTTGCACCCATCCATGCAGAGTTGAAGAATGTGAAATACATTTTTAAAAGTGTGTCTGTAATTTTGCTAACCCAAACCACATGATTATTCTTCCCAACCCTGTCTTTGTTGTCCTGCCTCTCCTTAATTTCTGTCTTCAGCAGTCATTAATTCTGTTTGGATTCTTAAAAAAATTCTCTAATCGTATTTTATTTCTTGACTTGAACAATTAAGTTGTATGAAACAATTTATTTTCTCAAATGTTTTTTTAAATGTGTAACTAAAAAAAAAAAAAAAGAGGAGGCGGCTAGGATTATCATGCAATCATAGAATGGTCTGGGTTGGAAAGGACCTTAAAAGGTGATCGAGTCCAACCCCCCTGCAGTGAGCAGGGACATCTCCCACTGGGTCAGGCTGCTCGGAGCCCATCCAGCCTGGCCTTGGATGCTTCCAGGGAGGGGCGTTGATCACCTCTCAGGGCAACCTGTGCCAGTGTTCCATCATCCTCATCATAAAAAACCTTCTTCCTTACAGCTAGTCTGAATCTACACTCTTTTAGTTTAAAACCATCACCCCTTGTCCTGTTGCTACAGTCGCTATTAGAGTCCCTCCCCTCTTCCCTATAGCCCCTTTCAGCCCTGGGAGGCCACTCTAAGGTCTCCCCAGAGCCTTCTCCAGCTGAACCCCCCCAACTCTCTCAGCCTTTCTTGTTGATCAAAATTGATCCAGCCTTCTGATGACTGTTGTGGTCTTCCTGTGGACCCAATTCAACAGGTCCATGTAATTGCTCGTATGAATTAGGAGATTCACTTAATTCTGCTTTGCACTGATATTTTCACACCATATGTTTTACAGAAATGAGATATTTCATGCTCTTATATATGTCTTTTAGGGATTTAGTGAGACTCAGTATCCCTACATAGTGCTTCATGGGGAGCTGGAAGTGTGGATCCATGCAGCTTTTAATTAGTTTAAAATAATAAATACAAATGGAAGGGAAATACAAGATTTATTTTTAAAATTAAGTCTCACTTCTACACAGTTTATGTGCATAATTAAGTGTTTGGGTTTTGACACTGCCTACCTCTTTCAGTGAGATACCAACTTCCAACTGTCTAGCTGTTGGGAGAAGAATACAGCAGATAAATTACATAGCAAGTTTTTGGAATTTCTTAGGGATAGGTTTTTCATAGATACCTAAAACAGAGAATGAAAAAAACCCCATGCAATATATTACATTTGAACCTAGTAAGTAGGGGAGAACTGATTGAAAATGTGAAATGGAAAGCAGTGTAGCTAATCTTGATTGTGAAATAATGAAAGCCATGATTCTTACGGAAGGAGAGTGAAAAGAAAAACAAAATGAACTTTTAACAGATGTCAGCAGATTCAGAGAGTGTGCAGAGAAAATGCTTTAGACAATTAGTCCAAGTGGAGAGTTTACAAGTTATAAGAGACTCTGAGGACACTGCAGTGGATTTTGCTATTGTAGAAGGCAGCTAGGGAAAATGGTAAGAATGTGACCTTGCTAAACCGTCACCTTTCAGCTCAAAGTAGATGCTAGCTCAGAGTTAGGCATGTCCGGTTGTGTGGAGGGTTTGTTAGTTTGGTTTTAACAAAACAACACCCCCCAAAAAGCAAACAACAAAACACCACACAAAAACAACAGTGTGGACAAAATGCACAAAATAAAATAAAGCTACTGAGAGCAGTAAGACTCTAGTAAGTCTAAAGTCAAGGGAAAACACTGGTCTGCTCCTCTGTAAGGAAGGAGTGCTGTCCACAGCTTAAACTGAGAAAGCATTTCATAATTTCCTTCCATTTTGCTTCAGTTTTCATTGCACAGGCTGGCTGCAATCAGGTGGTTAGTACAGCCAGGAGTTTTGGCAAAAATTATACAGAAAGGACTGTATATAATATAGGTGGATATTTTTTCCAGTGGCTGGGCAGTTGTGGTTGTGGGTTTTGTTTCTTTTGTGGAGTGCTGGTTTGGGGGTGGGGGTGTTTTTGTGGGTTTTTCCTAGTCCATTCCAGACACCCGGCTGAAGCATCATTTACGGCATTAATCGTGGGGAGGGATTTTGTTTGAGATGTGCTTTGTGAGTGGAGAACACTCTTGAGGATGAGGAAAAGGTATTAAATGTTCCTTGCCCCAAAAGAAATGTGAGGAGAAGAGGATACCCTGGAAATGAAAGATTAAATAGCTTAACTTCAGTTGTTGGAAATTTGCTTAAACAAATCAAACTGATGCAAATGAGAAAATAAGGCTAGAAATTACCATTATAACGGATTTGTGCAGAAGAAATGTGAAACTTCTTTTTCTGATAAGTTACATAAATAAGGGATGAGTAGCAGATGTCAAATCTTATCTTAGACTCATGGATGTTGGAAGGGAACTCTGGAGATGAACATGAAAAATAGCAGATAAGCAGCACTTCCTCAGGTGAGGATCTACAGGGCTGCAAGTTGGTCATGAGTCAACATGCATGTGTCCTTTGCAAAAAAGGAAAAGGCTGTATGAGGACAGATCAGCAGAAGTACAGTGCACATGAAGTAATTCTTCCATTCTGCTGTATGATGGTGAAGTCTCGGCTGCAGTTTGGGTACTTACAAGCACGAGGAGGATGTGATCAGTTAATGAGTTTTCAGAAGAGCCTTAACAGGAAGGGGAAGAATCTTAAAAGAACTCTTTAAGGATATTTCACTTACAGAAAGATGGGGAAATACTGTACTAAGCTTGAACCTGCATTGAGATCAAAGTCAAAATGTTATAGACCTGATTTTCCTTTTTTTACCTAGAACATTAGAATCCTGTTATTTTTGGCTGAGGTTCTGCATGCCACAGTGCACACTTTGGCGAGTTCATCTCTGGCAATATGGTGAAGTAACTGCTTTGTAGCAAAATGTTTTAAAGACTGTGCTTTAGTCTGAAACACCTGCTCAAGTTTCTTTCATTGTGGGTATTTCCATTAAGAAATAAGTCTGTGGGGGGTTCTTTTATGTGTCAATTGCATTATTTAGTAATTCTAAAGAGTTTGACAATGTTATTTGGAGTATGTTGTAAATAGCTTGAAATATATTTTGAGTGCAGTTCACAGGCCATACTCTGTTCCAAGTCTTAGTTTCAGATGTCTCTGGGTCCCCTATCTTTTTTCTGAAGCAAGGACTTGTTGCCCACACACTGAAGAACAGACTCATCTTGTATGGCACATATAATACTTGAACTATTTTTTTAAATATGTGGGACCACAGGTGACACTGGATTCTTTACCTGTTATTTCTTTATCATATAGATCAACTGATCTCTGATGTGATTTCATATGCCTCTAATCTTGCTTATGACAGAACTCTTAGGACTCTTAATGAGGGCTGTAATCCCTCACTGTTCCATCACTTGCTTCCCTTTGTTCCTGTCTTAGAGCACAAGTGCCCTGTGTGAGGTACAGAGCAGGTACATATTCCCTTTTGAGTTACACAAGCACAAAAATTACCACAAACTAGATCAATAAGCTTGTAATAACTTCATAAATGTTTATGTAAAGTGTCAAACCCCTTCAGACATCCCGAGTTCTAAAATTTTGGTCTTGGGCACAGGTGAATAAAATATAGATGACTGTTGATTAGTAAGATTTTTCTGCAGCTCCTTTATCTCTTACCTGTAACAAACCATGGGTTTGTCTTGGCAGAGTAACATGAGAAAAATCTGTGGGGCTAGTGTATCTGAATCTTGGACATTCAGAATTCATGTTTTTCTTTCTGTGCTTGTACTACAACATGTATCTCAAAAATACACTAGATAATGTCAAATCTAAGAAATCTCAGAATAAAATTCATTTGCATTTATTTTGCTGAACAAATGAATTCTGTATGCATTTTGGATACTACAATTAAAATGTGCACTGCATATTAGCATAAACTAATGTAGACATATCAATAATATTACTTACCAGATGGTTTATCAGTTGAAGTCGGAATACTAGTAACTGCAGGCATGGTTGGTAAGGTTGGTGGCAGAACCTTTAAGTTCTGATCACTCTGAATCTCATTAGTCGATATCTGGTTAATAATGCGATTGTAAGTAGGAGGCTGGTAGACTTTGTTTGGTGGCTGTGGAGTTTGTGGCAGTGGCTTTACGGATGGCATTCTTTGACAGTGTTCTTCCAGTTGGGCAATTATTATTGACTGATTATTGGCAATTGACATCAAATGTTGGTACTTGTGCTCTAAGTCTTTGTATTTGTTTGCAAGCTGCAACATATCTGCAGTTTGGTTCAGAATCTTATTCTCAAGCTGAGAAAGTTCTAAGGCGTTGTCACGTTTTCGGATAATTTCATGTAGTAACTGCATATAGAGTTGTGTGACACGAGAATTCATATTTCTGCTCTCTTTTCTTAAGAGTTTAACCTCATTCACAATCCCACCATCCACCTCTACCAGTTGCTGGAGAGTTTCTATTTGTCTCTTTTGTTTGAGTAGTTCATTGTTAAGTAACTGTAGTTCTTGTTTGTTTACCCTATTTTCAAGTAGAACTTCAGGCTCCTTAGAATTAACACAAATGGCACCTGTCACTCTCTGCTGAGGTACAATAAAGGTGTAAGTGCATTTGTCCTGTGTGTCACTGGAACGCTTGTATCTGTTCATATAAATGAACTCTTGCTCTGTTTCCTCCTCATTGCCTTCAAATTCCTGCGTTTTGCTTGCAGTAGCTCCCGCAACAGCTATTAGCATTAGACAGATGAATCTTGTTGTCATCATGATCCTCTCGTTCTGATCAGATATTCTTCTGCAAAGAACTCTTAAAAATCTGTTTTAAAACAAATTCAACAGTAAGTAACAAATAGGAAATCAATGCAAACTTACAACTGGTAATCTGTTCTAAAACTTATAAACTATTACATAGTAACTAGTATGTCTGTGTACAAATGAGGTGTTTTTATTGTCCAGCATGAACTTATGCTGGCTGAAGGGGACATCAAGGGGACTAGTTGTACGGCCAGGGCTGCAGTTAGTAGTTACTAGTTTACCTAAAGCCTGCCAAGAACCACAAGAAACTAACTAACAAATACCAGGATTTGAAGAGTCCTTTCTTCCAGGCAAGTACCACAAAAGTTTCTAAGATTGGTGTTTTCATTTAAATATGAATTATATTGTAACAGTAAGAAATGAAAATTAACTTTTAAATGTAAACAGAATGTAAGTTGTTATGTGCTGTTAAAATATGTTCTAAAAATATCAAATAGCTCATTTGCAGTTATTTTATAACCATGTATATTGCAGGAGACATATCTTAGGTGAAATGTAACAATTTTACTTTAGTCAGCAGTATTGAACCTTGTAGTTAAAAAAAACCCAAACCAAACTACAAAGAACCCCTTACTCTACATTAGTCCTTAATAATTATAAATTTAAAACTACTGCCCAAATATAGGCAATAAAATCTGTTGTTTTTCCAGACTAGTAGAATTAACAACTAAAATATTTATTGTGATGCTCACTGGAGACATTGTCTGCACTCTCAGCTTGGTCATTTCCCTTCAGAGTCCCTTCAGGGAAGGGGAAGAACACGTGCCTGCGTGCACAGTGGATGAAGATGACCCCTGGCTGTTAGAATTAGCCTGTGGTGTTTACTGACACACTGCAACAGTGCCTCTTTGGTGAAATTACGCTGGGTTCTCAGAGCAAATTCACATTCAAGGTGGAGGCCGAGGCCATCACAATCTCTTTACAAACAAGTCACTACCAGAACTTTTAGGCAACAGTCACCTTGGAAGCGTGAGCTTAGCATTGTCACTGTGGCCAGGGATGCCCTTGTCACAGCCACTCTTCCAGCTGCTTGAACAGCACTTTGATATCGTGTATTTCCAACAGCTTCTTGTTGAATTTTAACAAGGGTGTGTATATGTGACCTAGTTTTCGGAAATAAAATGGAGGGGAGATGCAGTATGGAGCTTTTTCAGTGTATAGAAGCCTGCTTGATACTTTTTAAAACCAAGGTGGTATCACCATCACATTTTTCTTTGTAAAGCACTTCACATGGAATAACCATTCACTGTTTAAATAACTGCCCCCTTACTGTTTGGTCATCTTTAGTACAGGGAAATGATGATAACAGCTGTGAAAAACTGGAAAGAGTCGAGCTAAGCACAACCAGCATGGATAGCTAGAGGCTGGCAGACACGATGTGTGAGGAGCATCAGCAAGAGCTAGCCCCCAGAATGTGAAGGAGACATCTTACTGCTGTCTTCAGTTACATAATGGGTGTTTGTAGAGAAGATGGCTTCTTTCTGGAAGTGCAGTGAAAGTATAATGGTCAATGGATACAAACTGCCTCAGGAAAAATGCATTTTGGGTTTTAGAAAAAAAGCATTTCACAATGAGGGTGACCAAGGATTGAAGCAATCACCCAAAGAGGTGGTGAAATCTCTATTCCTTGAAATATGTAAAGTTTTGATTTAAGCAAGTCCCTGAGCAGCCTGATCGAATGTTGAAATTAGTCTTGCTTTGTAAGACGAAGGTGAGGTCCCATCCAATCTGAACTGTTCTATGATTGTAGGCAGCTGCTGGCTTGTAAGAAAGTTTTTTTTTTTAGAGTTTCAAGATCATGATGGATATGCATGCTTAAATAATTTTCATACTGAGAAGAGATATGGTTGTCAGTCATCCACATTCTTCTGTTCTTTTGAAATAAACCATAGAAGTTTCTGTAAATGTTCAAACAAAAGTGATCAGGATTTGATCCTTCTTAAAATTTTTGGATATACATTTTTGCTTCAGTTTCTCATTTGGAATAAACTCATTTTCATTCTGCAAACAGAAAGGAATTGTGCTTTACAGAACTTGTCAAGAATCTTGAAAACTTGTCAGATAAAAGTTTGGAGTTTGACATCGTTTCTGTAAGTAAAGGAATGTTATTTGGAGCCGTGGAAAACAGGGAACATAAATTCACCCCAGACAGCTTTAACTTGCATAATCAGCATTTGCACAGCAGGTCATACTTGGAAACCCTGGCGGTTTTCCAGGCCTTGTATTTCTCCACAGATGGACTCTTTTTGCAAATGTCTCTTGCATATAGGTGTAAAATGGGTTTTATTTCAGTGTTTGCATTCAAATAACTTCTCCCCTCCCAAAAAAACCACCCTGTAATTATTGTGACCACTGGAAAGAAACTAATTTTTTCCTCAGCATTCACTTGAGTCTTTGTCCCAGCATTTCATGTCTTTTAACTGAACACAGGATTTGGGGTGCGCATTCTTTCCAGCCTGAAGAAATACAGAGCAAATTAGGACAGTTTGATTTCTCTCCACTTTTTTTTAATAATTGTTTAAGAAATAGCACAGAGTTCATCAGCCTCATCTTAACCTATCAGTTCAAACGTCTTTCAAAATAGAGTAGAACAGACTGTTTCAGTTGAAGGGACCTAAAACGATCATCTAGTCCAACTGCCTGACCAATTCTGGGCTGAGCAAGTTAAAGCATGTTAAGGGCATTGTCCAGATGCCTTGGGACATCATCCCCTTCTGCAGGAAGCCTGTTGCAGTGTTTGGCCACTGTCTGCAGAAGGTGAGCCATCAGTGAAGGACATCAGCATGATTAGACCGTGCTGAAGTGCTCCTCATGTCTGTGCCTGTATATCACCTTTTCTAAGGTATTCTTCCTAGAAGAAAAAACATTGGAAGGAAAAGTACGTTGGTAACAGAATGCTCCTGTACAAATGGAAACAAGAACCATACTGTCTTCAGATGTCCTTCCTGCAGAGTCTCTTAAGTCTTTTATTGTCTGTACTTGTTCAGTAAAAAGGTGTTCAGAATGAGGCCTATTTGTTGCATATTGTGCTGGACTACATAACATAAATGGCATTTCTTTTCTGCAGTTGGATTCAAATGAAGTTTGTAACCAACATGCTTGTCTGAACAGCTCTCAATGATTACTCTTTCAGGGAGAAGAAAGCTTGCTGGAGGAAGTGGGGAGGGAAGCCAGCAAAACAGTTTTAAGGAAGGACTTAATGCTTTTTAATATCTTCCCCTTTTTAAGTAGGAGACCATCAGATTCTTAGGACATCAGAATTCCTTCCCATGGGAGAGGAAAATCTCATTTATTTGATGTCTAACACACTAGCTTTCAGTTTTCTTCTGTTGCACTTACGCCAAGTAATTGCTCACACCCTCTGTAGTTAACTAGTGCTGTTGCTGATCACTCAGTTCTTCCCATTTCTCTGGCTTGGCCCCCTTCTTGCTCGCTCGCTCCCTCTACCAGTAGCTCTTCTGCAGTGGACTGGGAGGGAACTGTATTGCTGGGGCCATATTCATTCCCAGTGCAAAATTCCACTTAGGTAGCTGTGGACTTTTCATTTGCCATTGCACAAAACTACATGATATAAAAGCATGCTTGCAGGTTTGATGTGAATTTTCTTAAATTACTGGAAGTACAGCATGTCTGTCTTTTATCCTTGTGCACGCTGACAGAAGTTCAACAAGCATACAAACAAAAAATGGGAGAAGTGAGAAAAGCACATGTAGAAAGATACATGTCATTTCGATTAAAGGTCAAATAGAGCTTATAATCAGAAGAAGTATATAAGTTTGAAGTAATTTCATTTCTAGATTCTGGCTGTTCAAGACTAGTGCACTTGTAAAAGCACTCACTGTTCTTGGGAGTCGACTTGGGACAAACCTGCCCTAGTACAGAGGCACCTAAAATGCATTTTGTGTATGTTTTCCCTACTTGGCAGTATATATTACTTTATTCAGGTAAAACCAATTTTTTTTTCCTGTTTATCTTTCACCAGTATAACTGCATCTGTGTGAAGACTTCTGGTGGCATCGTTGGGTGGGTTATAATCATAGTATTTTGCATACTCCTAGCCAGCATAAGTGCTTTGGTTAAAATTTCAGTTTGTAGACCAAATGTTAGCCTGCCTGTGTATATAATGGGAAGTAAGTAATAATAAGTTGGATTGTTTGCTCATTCATTGCTTGCCCAACTGAGGATGTTCCCATGATCTGGTGAAAAAAGAGGAAAAAAACTTTCTGAAAGGGCTATCAGACATTTCAGCATTTCCTGTCCCTTAAGTAAATATAATCTTTCTTTGGCTTTGCTTTGAAATATTCTTCTGTGCAGTACCCTGTCATGCTTATATAGGACTTTTGGTTAGTCAAAATATTTTACCTTTTGATTGCTACAAGTATCTTGAAATATATGTGGTATTTCAACAAGATTCAAGTATTTTACCATCTATAATGGTAACCTTACCTATAGGTTTCCACATCCTATAATTTAATCACTGTCATAATCCTGAAATGATAAAGTATTTCTATGTGCAAAGTATTACTGTTTGGCAAATACTGACTCTTTTTTTTTTTTTTTTTTTTTTTTTTTTTTTTTTTTTTTTTTTTTTTTTTTTTTGCAATCAGCTTGCCTTAAGAAAGCATTAAAGGTTGCAATGTCAGCACTATGGCTTTTTTTTAAAAGCTAGTTGTAACAAAATACACATCCCATTATGGATATTCCAACATCTATACCTCTTTTCATTATTTGCTGGTTCTGATGCTATGCTTCATTTGGGTTTTTGCGTACAGAAGAGAACGAAGGTATGTCTCCATCAGATGAAAAATATGACTTGTAATAACAACACAATGAAGTATCATTAAGCCTATTTGAAAATCCTACCAGTAGCCTTTCAATGCTATGGCTGTTTTTTGTTGGATGAAATTTGTTCATAAAATAGACATTTGCAGTATTACTCTGGAAGGAAAGGTGTTTATAAAAGCCTGAGTATATACTGTCAGCACTGTTGCATCTAGTTCTAAAGTGGTTTTGCAATGTTGTGTCTTTCAACCATTGAGAGATCTGCATCCTGTCTCTGGGAGTTTGTTCTCTTTACACCTATGCTGATTTCAGTGTTCTGCAAAAAAAAGAGCTGAGGCAGTAAGAAGAGCACTGGATGGTGGCTGAGCACTGAACTCTATTACCCTTTACTTTGGATTACAAGTCAGTTCAAGGAGGAAATGTTTTCACACTGGAGGAAGGCATCACCTATACTACAGCATTTTGGAGAAACACAGAAGCAAAATAATCATCTGTGTAAATCTTGTGTGGAAAACCTTAACTAAGACAAATGTGGAAAATAGTTGTGTGGGTTTCATACCAGAATATAAATTTTGTATCTTAAATTGCACTGGTCTGGGTTACTGCTACAGATAAGGAACTTAAAAGAAGCCATTACGTAAAAGCAGTTCAATTGCTTCTTGCAGCTGCTCTTGTTTTTCTATACATAGTGGTCTGTAGGTATGAAAGTGTGATGCACCGAGTATATAAATGCAGCTTTTGTACAAGTGATATGTGACACTGTCTACCCTTGGAGACTGCTTTACAGAGAAGGCAATTTTCTGTGCTAAAACTAGGATGTTGTAAGAGGGGATTTCTGGGGACTTCAGTAACTATTTGAATTGCAGTATAGTTGAATTTATTGCAAAATTAATCTAATTAAGAAAAAATACTACCAATTTGGTTTGAGGAGCTAATACATCAGAACCTGGTATATGATGAAGATAGCAGCAATTCTCAAATTCAGAAAGCTAGAACAGATTTTTAGAGGCTGGTATGTCACAGCTCAGGAATTCAGGAGGCATTTTCAGCTGATCAGGCTTCAGTTATGATGATCATTGTACTTTTCCGATGTGACTTTTCACACTTAACCAGGAGTGCTCAGTAAGCTGTCAGAATAAGTCATTGTATCTTTGGGATAACAACTGTTGTTTTTATAACAAACTGCTGGCACTTTCTATCACTGTCACTCAAGCTCCCTAGAAAGGCTCCCAGAGTATTATATTCCTTAGGAAGTTAATTCCAGAATTGGAGGGCTTACTTGTTATTTCACTCTATCTTCTGTATATGGTTTTATTTGTGCAGTATTTTGGGGGTGGTTTTTTTGGTAATAGGTGACTTTCATTTCATTAAGGAGTGGATAGGCCCAACGCTCACAACTTATTCCCATCCTTGTGAATTGCTCAGACTCAAGGGTTTATAGTCTAGAGGCTGGATCATTACAAGTGTGGGCTGGTCTAAAATGCCAGAATTGAATGCACCATGATTAAACTGGTACTTCAGAGCCTTTTAAAAATACCCAGATAGAAAAAAAACCCACAGATATAAGAAGGATGAGATACGCACTTTTGCACAACGCTGGTATTTTCTGACATTTCCCAGTATCGTTGTTTTGACTTAGAAGAAAAAAGTCAGCAGTGATATCCTGCATACAGATGCATTTATTTTGTTGCTCTAAATCGCTCTGTTACAAAATTCAGTTCTGTGGGTTAATCAGTTCTTGTGTGCTGGTCACATTTAATATGATGGGGCTAGCAGTCATTTGATGGGCTGGCTTTTCCTCATACCTTATGTGCTGTGGTACCTTCTGTGTAGATTCCTGAAGCATTTAGACACCAATGAAGGCACGCTCACAAAAGGCAGAGCCTTAGCTATTACAGCATTTATTCTGGAAAAGATAAACTATTTTATTTGGTTGTGAATTCACACATAGTTTGATAATTGTTCATTCTAAAGAATCATGAAAAAAATAGCAACTGATCTTCACTGTTTCTTTAATACTTTTGTCTTTGAAATTAAGAGGGGTTTTTAGATTAATGCAGTTTTACTTTTTAATTGGATTACAGAAGCAAATGGAACAAGGGTGTCAAAAATGTAAAGTCCCACTATGAAAAGATCAGAGGGTTTGGTTTTGCTTTTTTGTTAACAAACATTAGTTTTTGCTTCTGTAGAGTCCTTGATAGTCAGTGTTTGTGGACTTAAGAGTTAGCTGGCATGTTCCAGGTACCAGGCCAGTAATATGATCTGGATTTCACAACACCGTTGTGATAAGATAGATAAGAATGAATTTTCTGAAGCTGCTTTCTTTCTTACTCCCTGCCCTTTTTCTCAGAGCTCATGCTCTGTTCTTACTCCCTCTCCCAAAGTCTCTTGCATGGACTTGCATTAATCCATCCTGTCAATTTTTCAAGTAGTCTTCATATTTAATGGCATTTATTTTTTCTCTTTTCTAAGGAGAGGGACTTGCATTTTGCTACATGTTTTCTTTTAGAATTAACTCATGTAGTTTGATTTCTAGATAGAGTACTGCTGTGAAAAACTTGGAACAGTGTTCTTCAGTTTTGTAAAAGGAAACAGTAATTCACAGTGAAAATACAGCAAGGTAGTGTGCCTACCACATGTATTAGGAAAAGCTTTAAAGTTTTAAGTTTTAAAGTAAGTATAATAGGGGATAGGGAAGGGCTGACACATAATTGCATGCAGTTTCACTTACGAAAACACAATGTAAAACTAAGTTGAAAAGTTTACCTCCAAACCTATGGGGGGAATGAGTTTAGGGTTTTTGCCACTGGTTACTTGATTCCGTCCTAAGCAGTGCCACACTGACAGAAACCAATTAATTGCTTTAGATACTTCTCTTATAAAGCATTCTATACTCAGCTTTTTTGTCCACTTAAAATTGTGGTGAAATTTTGGCTGCAGCACTAGTTCATTCTTCTGAAAAGGAAATACTTTTTTTACTGAAGGGAATGGATGACTAAAGCAGCACTTCAGAATGAGAGTATCTTAATTAGCTCTTGGAGAACTTTTGTTTTGAAATACTATCAAGTGCTGCAGGAAACTTCAAAAGATTATGTATGTTTTGCTGCTGTGTAACTTTTTTCAAGTTTTGGCAAAAGATAGCTCTTTTAGTTACGAGAAGTACAAATTTTCTTTCTGGATTACCAAGAATTTTAGTCCTGTTGTTTGTGGATTGCTCTTTGTGCTTTTTAAAGTTCTGTCATAGATGTGGAATGTAATTATTGAAAGAGAGCACTGCTTTTGTTGTTGCTTCCCTTAACAGCGGCCTCACCTTATTTTCCCTTAATCCAATCACTACCGAAAAGCGCTCATACTGTGCGTGCTCACATGTGTGCGGGCGCATTGTCTCGAACAGCCCTTCAACAGAGTCACCTCTTAATAAATGTGACTCATTCTGCCCATGAAAAAGAGTAGTTAGATCATACTGTAAATATTTAATGCTTACACGAAGGCACTCATAAGCGCTAGGTTATTTTTTAAATGAGTTTTTTGCAGAATCTTTGAAGTATTTATTTTATATAGACTCTAGTAAAGTTCCAGGAACTCTTGTATCTCCTTGATCAGACACGAGTGTAAGAAAGACCAAACAGAGATTTCGTAGCTCTTAATACAGGTAGGGCTTTAGAAAAGTGATCACAGAAATTAGTATCCCTAGAAAGTTTGCTGAGACATATGCGTTTTTAGTGAGCCTGAGGAAGCATGAAGCTCTAGTTAATTCTGCAGAATTAAGTAAGATTTTTAAAAAGATGTAATATTCTTGAAAATAATGGCAAGAGGGCTCTGCGCTGCCTGGCATCATAAAATGTCTCGACTGTCTCTGCACCTCCACCGCGGTGGTGGCTTTTTGAAAAAGGCGAAGGGAAACGCAGGCTTGCTGCTTTCTGCGGGGCTCGGGGCGCCCTGGGCCGGGCTTGCAGCCGCGGCGGGGCCCGGCCGGACAACAGCCGCCGCCTCCCCCACGTCCCCCCGGCCTTACCGCTCTCCGCCGGCGCCTCGCCCGGTCCTGGCCGCGCTCTCACCGCCGGGGCCCGGGACGGCCGCAGCCCCGGGGCTGGGACATCCC